TTCATCAGAGCTGTTTCCAGAATGTCATCGATGGCAAAGTTGAAGAGGAATGATGAGATTGGGCAACCCTGCCTGACCAAACTGCTTGAATGGAACAATGGAGAGAGGTGGTTGTATGCCCTCACTCTGCCTGAGGTGTTTTTATATAGGGCTTTTAGGATGTTAATAAACTTCTCAGGCACACCTTTCCTCAACAGACAATCCCAGAGAACAGTCCTATCCATCGAATCGAAGGCAGTCAAGAAACACTACGAGTGTTGGCCTTTGATAAGTATGGCGGTGTTCTAACATTTGGCGGAGGGTGAAAATATTATCATACATCCTCGACCAGAACGAAACCCAGCCTGCTCTTCGCGAGTCAATCTTTCTCGAGTTATGAACAACCTACGAAGTATGACGGAAGCCAATAGCTTGGACGCAACTGAAAGTAGACTTATCCCCCGATAGTTGTTACAGGAAAGAACTGAACCCTTTTTAAAGATAGGGACAACTATCGACTCATTCCATGACGTTGGCACACTCTCTAACACCCAAACCTTTGTAAACAACGTATTCAATTCCTTAGTCAAAAAGTCACCACCATCTTTAAAAAGAGCCGCAGGTAAGTCGTCTGGGCCAGGTGATTTGTAACGCTTCAAGAGTTGGAGTTCCTTGCGGACTTCCTCCTCGTTTGATAGATCAGTCGTCACCGGCCATGGAGGGCAGGACAGTCTGACCGATGTTGCCGGAGCAGCAGGCCAGTTGAACTGCCCTTCGAAAAATTCTGCCCATCGTCCAAGACGTCGATGGATGTTAGTGATTGGCATCCCATCATCCTCGCAGATTGTTTCACTCACACCAGACTTCTTGCTGCCAGTGGCTCGGATGAGCTGGAAGAGCTTCCGGTAGTTACCAGATGCAGCTGCTGCTTCCAGCTCATTAGCACGCTTCGACCACCAGGCTTCTCGGTCCTTATGCAAGCTTTGCCCGATTTCCTTACGTAACTTCCTTCGTTTATGGTCAAACTCACGGTCACCCGGAGTAGACCGACGGGCTTCAATGAGTTGTAAGGAACCAGAAGAAACCCAGTGCTTATAAGCGGGACGTTTCGCAAACCCACAACTGACTGTTCCCGCCATTTTCATGGCGTCATGCAATTTCAACCAATGCTCATCTATACTTTTCGGTGGAATGGTAGCTAGCCTAGAAGCTAGCTCGGTTTGATACTTACTTGCAACAGAAGTTGCAACCAACTTGCTAATATCAATCCTTTGCTGGCGGTCACTTCGTTATCCACTGAAAAGGCAAGATTGGCGCAAACCAAGGCATGGTCAGAGTCCAGACAGGTAATCCAAAAGGAGCGGCAGTCTTTTACATAACCACGCCAGCGGTAGCTGATCGCGATGTGATTAATCTGAGTTCAGGCTTGGGATGCAGAGGGAGGACGCCAGGTGGCACATCGGCGATGACTGTGCCGAAAGTTAGTGCTAGCCAGAAACAGGTTGTGGTCTGTGCACAGTTGCAGTAGACGGTCTGCGTTATCTGACCTGCGACCAACGAGTCCCGATCGGCCACCTAAACGACTCTCTTCTGTGCCTAGACGCCCGACCTGAGCATTCAAGTCTCCGGCTAGTACTACAATATCTGTCGAACGCACTTTCTGGAGAAGAACAGATAACTGGTGGTAAAACTCATCCTTGATTGCATCCGGACTGCAATCTTTCGGGGCATAGGCGGAGATGACGAAAAGACATCGTTTCTCACGCCGATTTCTTCTCACTTTGATGGAACTTTCTAATCTAACAGCACATAACCGACTGTGTAATGGGGACCTAATCGACTAGTGCTGCCTCAGCTCTAGTGCTTAGTGCGACACCAACACCAGCAAGACCAGACGAAGATGCCACAGGGTCCCCGGATAAGCGCACGTAAAACAGGCTTTTCGAAGCGACAGATGGAGATCGAATTTGTAGTACTTCGCCAGAGTCTTGAATACGGGTCTCGGATAGACAACAAACATCGATATTAAAACTTTCCAAAGACATAGCCAGCCCTATCTGTTGACCAACCTGCATAAGTGTGCGAACGTTGAAGGCAGCCAGTTTGAATGGCGCAAGTGGTTTCAGAAAAACTGCTTCAGTACTCATATTCGATGGTAATATATAATATTCAACCGGACAGTGACTCGAGAACGTTTAGATACAGTCGGATTTCCACCAAAGACGAGCCGCTGTATAAGTATAAAAGAGGGTGAATAATGTGGAAAATAATAATAATAATAATAATAATAATAATAGTATTAATAATGACAATAATAGTAATGATAATTATTTGAATCGATTGATTGTTTTTCGGAGCGAGAAAAGTAGTTGCCATAGACATAGAGTTCATCGTTTGTGTGTGGGCTGTGATACTGCCCGGGTGCCCAAACGGTTCATGACTTAATGTAAGCCACTTTTTCGGAGAATAAATAACCAAATTAAAATTAATCCAAGTTTAAATAGCACAACGGAACAATATTATTCTTATTGTTCCGTTGTACTATTTAAACTTGGATTAATTTTAATTTGGTTATTTATTCTCTGAAGAAGTGACTTACACTAAGTCACGAAACATCAGAAAAGCTAATTTTCTACTCATTGGGATATTACAAATATATTATTTAGTTATGCAACAGTTACATTAGCTGATATGCCATTTTCAGTTGATGATTTATAATGAATCTGAACATTCAATTACTTGTAAAATTGAGTGACGTTATTAGAAAAACTAAAATAACCGATTTTAGAGTATGTAAACAACATTGCTTTGTTGAAAGAAAACATTTTGACATGACAACCAAATAGTCTGCACCCACCTATACGGCTCAGCCTTCACGAACTGATACCATGTATTAGCTTGACCCTCCTTAGTTTTTTCCAACCTACTACTATACCAGCTATCATCGTAGAGGTAGTCGGTGTATAAGTATATGTATAACATGTCCTAACAAGCTTAGTAGATAAAGATTCATTATCTTATTAACTGATTCGACGTGCTTATCTAATATTCTGCATCGGACCTCTAGGAGGCCACGAATCTTAGACGTTTCGCTAATATTAGTAATTATAATAACCCTAACGTGTGGATTAAAAGTGAGGCAAATTAGAATAAATTAATAAGAATAATAATGAACAAAATCAAAATTAACCTTTTCACAGAGTCATTTTTACGGTTAATGTCATCAGTATCATACTATTGCGTAATCAAATGTGTTTAAAGAATGGTTTGAACATATATTGGTTTGACACTAAATTGATTTAGTTAGCCAGGTATTAGTATTTTACCAATCTTAAAAAATACAAAAGGCGATTCAAAGATGAATACATTTGTCAGTAATTAAATATTCAGTTAAATTATTATTATTATTATTATTATTATTATTATTATTATTATTATTATTAACGCTAAAGCCAAAATATTTGGAAATTTTAAAAACACATCTTGATTCTTTTAACTTTTAGTTGACTCCTTTTCTTTTCTATACCATTACGTAGTGTGATGTATGCAATTGAATGCATCAGGTATTTCATTATTCACTCTAAGGGAACAAAATTAACTTGAGCTAATACACAGTGGGTGAAGTCGTGGTTCAGTGGCTAAAACATTCCACTGTTACGAATCAAGCAGCGGATTCGAATCCCTCTCCACTTTGGTTTAGAGAAGTGGTTAGTTTCGCTAGCTTACACTTACAACGTAGTTCAAAGCCAAGTGCACTAATCTGTACCCAAGTAAACGAGTTTAATGATAATAATGCATAAATTAAATAATAATCTCTTTTCGGTTTATAAAAAATGTAATGCATTATAAACAAACAAAACAAACAATAAGAATCTAAATTTGCTACGAAACTAGAACATCGATGGAGAAAAACAAATAATTATATCGTTAAACTGATGTTTGGTATGTGTATAATTAACGTTGTTAGACAACACATGAAACCAATTATGTATAAAGACGATGAAAGCAAAACAAAATTTTGTAAGCAATATTATTTTTGGAGAAAAAAACCGAACTGTTCACTGAAACAATAAATCAGCTCATAATCAAATTCAGTAGTAGCGAACAGATTTATCACGAAATCATACTCAATGCACGACATGGCACGTATGCATATCGGTTCAAGTTACCACACCACAGCAAAGAAAGATGAAATTAAAAATATTTCAGAGTAAAGTAGTAATGGTACTACTGTTAGTAGAAAATATTAGTGATAGACAATATGATTTGAGAAGAATGAGTTCGCGCAATAAAATGTGAGGTAACTTCAAAACTCAAGATCTAAAGAAAGAAGTTAAAATTCACCTGCGTACATTGAACTGCAGGCTACATCTATTTCACAACTGCTAGTATAATTGTCGAAATATCAGTGGAAAAAGACAAGTCTCCACCAGTAATAGATTGAGTCAAATTTGTGAAATAAAACTAATAAGTTGAAGCTCCATAGAAATATAATGCATATTTCAACCAATTCGATCTGACTTAACTAACTGACCGAATAATTCGTTTATCCTGGACAAAAACTGCAATTATATTATTTTACACTTAATATATGTGAAACGTAGATCAAAGTACAATAAACATCATTTTGAGAGGATAATTAAAATTAACTTAAACTTAACCACTCCAGTACATTTCTTTTACGACGAAAACATGCACCTGCGATAAGTACATATACCAGCAGTTGTAGGTTTACTCCAGATTATGGCAAAGTTACAAACTAATTAAAATTGCTTTATGAAGTTTCTACTTAAGACATAATGCATACAATTTCGGCAGTCATAACTACAAGTTAAGATAAAGGATTCCTTGTATAACACATCAATTTTTTAGGCTATGAATAATCGCAGCTTCCTGATTTAAAGTAACATTGAATTATAAGGTTAGAATATTCCAAGTTATAACTAAAACAAGAAAGCTCACATTTTTATATAATTAGTATACAAAAAGAAACATGGTTACTGCACATAATATTTACTTACTTTCAAAAATAATGCAGTGGTATTTTCTGGAATTAATCCTTCTGGCAATTCCCTTAAATACAACTTAAGAAGACTAGCAACTGAGAAAACGTCAACTGAACGATCCAAATCTCCAGCTATACTTGAAAATTCCCCTAAATGCCAATAACTTCCGTTTTCATCAACAATGGCACGCAACATCTCAACTGTTCGTGAATTGCCATTTACACGAAAGATGCCTTCAGATTGTAAACCACCTTTATTTAATAAGAAGTTAAATATATCAGAAATAACGATCGGAATTTCAGTCTTGTCACGTTCTATAACATCTTCAAGTGATACACCAAATGTGAGCATAGGATGTCTGGGTATAGATAATGCTGTGGTAGGTTTAAAAGCTTTTTTAGGTACAGGATTAACGACCATTTTCTTCATTAGCCGCTCAATCACCATGACCGTCTCCTGCCGTAAGAAAACATGGAACACAAATTTCCGGTGATTAGTACAACCAACTTATATATTATTTGATTATAACAGAAAAATACATATGGTCAATAACAGTGTTTAGTAGAGCTGGTTACGTTACTGATGAGTATGCAAAAATTGATGTAAATATAAAAACTTCCTTCGTACCCAGCTACAGTGGTTAGAATAGCGAATTCATTATACACATCAAGTCGTCTTAAATAAACTATTCAATTTTAAAACAGCAATTAGTCATGAAAGGAAATAAACCAAAAGCATACAAAAAAGCTACACATACGGGATCAGTGATATTTGCCTTCCAAGGACGAACTTCAACAGGAATTGTTTCCTTAACAAGATTTCATGGTGTGGTCAGCCAAAAAACCATAATATTAAACGGCAAATTATTCAATTGATTGTAAAAGTTATAAGCTTGACGGTGACGAACAATGAATATTTAAATGTAAACTTGATATATTAAATAACAATCTGCATCGAAACCTGCCAATGATACATGATTTTTGGAGCATTCATCATCTCGAACACATAAGACTGGCTGAAACGAAAGCAACCGAAATGCAACAGTTTAGTGCATATTAATTGGTCAATAATAGGACAGCAATACTTCACACTAAAAAATACAGACGCTGAAACAATATATTACCATTGTATTATTCACAATCACGATTTAATTATCACTGTCATAGACTTATTACTCGATACAGATTAATGAATTCTCTGGAAAAAGAACCACATGTTCAACTATTTCTAGCTTAGCATAAACGTGTAACATCTAAAACTTAAGGGACTCGAATAATATGAACACATGTTCAATCAACAAGTATTGGATTAACCAACTTTTAAGAATGTTAGACTCATAAAAATAGTTATTTGATCTGTAAGGAGACATATGACGCGACGCAATTTATTGTTTCAAATTACCAAATAATTTCAAGGCACAGGAAGAATGTGGGGAAAAAACTGTACAATTAACGGAAAGGAATTTACACCTAAGGAATACCAAACAGGAAATTTAGATAAAAGTCGACGTCGACCAGACTCTTATAACATAGAAAATCCATGCCATACAATTGTTTCAAGTGGTGTTTAGTCAAACTTATACGTACGAATTTCTCTAGACAAATGTGATATTCCGCTATACAAAAACAGCCAATTTTGGTCACTTGATATCCGCATACTAGGGATTTTGTGTTGGAAATTTAGTTTTCGTGAGTGGTCTTTACTTTCTCATACTACTTAGATTTGTTTCACAAATTGGTCACAGTTAAATTAACCGCAAGATTTTCAAGTTCTTATAACAATGATAAAAAAATGAGTGGAAATCTGATAATACAATTGACTGAATCCCACTTCATGTACTTCAGGTTCGACAAACAGATTTTTTGCATCATACAAACGAATAAACGAAGCAAAACTTCCAGACGACCTCTCACAAACAACAATCTAATCTTAAGAAAACTAATAAAAGATCTCATCAATGACAGGACCAATCATAAGCATACCTCCAGAATCTTTCATGATGCAAACGGACTTTCAAATCCATCTTAGATCCATTTTCAAGACAACGAACACATGAGATCTGAAACATACTTGGTGATATTTTACAAATTTACCAACATTACGATGGAAATTTCATGAAATGAAGATTATCCAGACATACCCCTACTCAACAGTGAATTTCTAAGGACAGCAGAACATAAAACTAAGTACTGTTGTATTTCACCACAATTAGCTAAAAGATTTAAACTAAAAGAGACAGATGATAGCTGGACATATCCATTTTATGACCGTAGATCGTTTATCGTTGATCATGGCTTGTGTTGGTCCTTCATGACTCCCTGGCTGGGGTCCGAGAGATAGCGCAACACAGTGGCTAGAGACGATATCAAATATGGCTCAGAATAGAAGCCAGTGGCGATCCTGCTGTAACCTTCTTTTACTTTCTTCATTAAACAAATGGTTGCATCTTCCTTAACTGAAGGGTTTCTTCTGGTTGTACCTTTCCGTTCCCCCATTCTTACCACTATTATTATTACACTACCTTATACCAATCTCTTCATTATTGTTCTTTTTTAACCCTCGTAACCTTTTTTCTTTTTCCTTCTCTTTAAATTCTCATTGTTTTGTGTGGCGCATATATATTTGGTGCATTCTTGTACCAATATGTATGTGTTCAAATAAATAAATAATAAATCTTATGACCAATCTTGTAGCGGAAGATTATTTTTTATATAGGCTATACTGCGGAAACCAGTAGCTTCTTGCTCTTGACAGCACCTTATGATTGCTTCTAGTCCGAAGGTTATGCAGACACACCGAAATCATGTTGAAGCAGCCAAATCCTATGGATAAACGACTACCTACTTGGTAAAATTTAACAGAGGAAGACTACGAAACAAAATACGATATGCAATCATGCTGCTTCTGGTTTTATAACGAGTTATTAACTATATGGTGAGGACCAAAAAAGAATGGTAATCCATGTTATAGCAAATATGATTTAGCGGCGCACATGTATTTTGGTCAATTAGAGTCAAAAACTTGAATGAATGAATATCCGTCGAGCAATCTTGACAGGGCCAAAGGATAACACTCAACAAGTAGTTTGAAGATTGTCTATATGCATCAAACTACAGCACAGATCAATCTTCCAAAAGTCTTATCAATAAAAGAAACTACTTTGACTTTCGTGATACCTAACAGATTATTCGCACATCGATTGTCGATGTTACATATACGAAACATGGGACAGTTGAAAAGTGAACAGAAAAAAAAATGAATACTTCCACTTTCCCGCTACGCATCTTTTCACGTAAAATGTCGCACATGTATAATCGGGAAGTTATACAATGCAAAAAGAAAACAACATGAAAAACTCAGCAAGGACGAAATGTTAATTGATTTTTATACTTCATTCATAAATTATGACCATTTATCCCTTGCAATTATTAACATCCATCTTGATGGCGATGAATATTCTATACGAACAATATAAATCTATGATATAAAAAGCAACTTTAGACATTTACAAAGCTTGTGAAATGACGTTAAAATAGTTTTTAAAATATCGAAGGAAAAAGCTCATGGTAACAAGCTCTTTAAGGCAGATTTTGTACAACTGGAAGCAAGAATCAAATATTCAGTGACTGGATTAAGCAACAAACATAACTACCGCAAATTCAAACGTGCGTACACCTCAAAAACGCACAGAACCCGCCTAGTTGGTTAGTGTTAGTAAGTCAAAATGACTTATTAAAACAAAGAGTTGTACCTGTAAATTTATAGATCCGGTTGCTGGCACTTTCTTTTTATGAGGTTGATCCGTAGCATTTTTTATACATATGAAATACCTAAAATCCCTATTTAAGCTGACATCCTCTTTTGACAATTATAAAAAGAAATTACGTCATACAGGCCGCTAGTCCTTTACTAGAACGGATAGTAGTCCACTAATAAGAATTTAAAAATCACTGCGAACCTGATCTTTGGAATCTGTAGGCTATTTTTTGCGAAAATTCGCTTAACTAAACCCGTTCCCTGTTCAGAGCCTGTAAACTCAAATAGTTTACAAAAGCTTGCAATAAAGACATTAGATATTGGTTTCAAACTTGAATTTACTGGCCACACAGTTAGTACTTATGGCTTGATAACGACGTATACGGTGGATTTTTGAACTAATTGGTCAAGATAAACCTTGTTTCCACCATCCATATGAATGGTTGGTCACATATTTGTGTCTCTTACCACAATTTTTTGGTCTAGACTATGAGTTCTGCGAACAAGGAAACATTGTAGTCGCAATAATTTCAACCTTAAAACCCGTAACTGAGAGCTGAATCCCCATTAAATAAACGACAGTGGTGAGAGAAGATATGCTTTGAGCCAAAGAGCTAATATACTGCAAGAATTGTCTGCACATACGTTTCTCTGCCTCTGAGACTTTTAAAATAAAGAAGAATGGCATCATCACTTTTGAATTCAGTTTTAAAGGTTGTCTGTTTGTAACAAACGCAATTATTAGTAGCCCAATTAACTGGATTTTCGATTTTGCCATAAATGACGTTAACCACGTACTTGAAAGATCAGGGACACTTAGAAATTCTTGCTTTATTTAACTCTGTTCGATCAGTGATATTGGTGAGTGCTCAAGCCACCTGTCCAATTGGCTGCTGATCACTTAATAATCACAAAAAGTGATTGTGAAAGACAGGATTTTAGATAAATTCAAATATACTCTGATTAGGTGAAAACCTGTGGTGTTAGGAAGTGTTTTTCTAGAATCAGATTATTATCAATGTAAGAAGCTCGCATTGATTGAATACCAGTCTTGGTCTCACATTGAGTTAACTAAAGTTGAATGCCTGGTAAGCTAACGTGTTGTTGAAGATATATCACGCTTCCCCCGAAACAACACCATGGAACTTAAGTATATCTGACCTATTGATTTTTTCAGTGACTGGCTTCTGAGATGTAAAGTATAAAAAAACGAAAATTGCCAACGTATTTCGTATATTAAAGAGGAAATATATAAAAAAAGGTATGAAATAAGCACTATCTGAAGAGAAAGGTACAAATAAATTATAAATACACACTCCATTTATAGCAGCATCTAGACAAATTCAACAGTCAAATATTAGGTGCCAAGTTTCGTTAGAAACAACAGACGATTACCTGCTAAATAGGATATGATGTCCCTACTAAACAAGATATAATATTCTGTTTTAAAGAGGTGGTCAATGCAATTCATTTTGTGTTACTAGTGAGCATTTCAATTGTTCGATAATAATTACGTTAGAAATAAATTAATCATGCAAATAGCTATTGGCCAACAACAATAAGCATCTTCAACAATCGGAGTACGTTTTGGTCTCTGTGTATCAGAACAAGTCAGTCAAGTTACACAAGTTGTGACAGCATAACGATCGGACTTAAAGTATTTAATCTCAAGGCAGAAGACGATTCAACAAACCAAGGTCTGCTCCATTAAGCTGAAATGCTGCTTCACTGAGCCACTCGCAATCATCGTAAAGTTGATAAGGAAAATGGACTGAGTGAAATACAAAATGATCGGGACCCATAAAAAATAAGCTCATGTAAAAAGATATGTGGGTCAGATAAAAGTTAATTGCCAAAAATAGATAGGCGATTTTAACACTTTACATTAAATTAGTAGGTCATCCTGTGTAATAATAAAACTTCTCTGGATTATTTTCTTCTTTAGAGTTGTCTAGCACATTTTAAGTAAACAATCTCAGCAATAAAAAATAGTATGAATCCAAATGTCATTGAATTAAATACTTAATGGTTCGTATGATTCTCAGGTACACGTACTGCTGAGTACTTCGTTAGTAGGCTGATTGGTCAATAATAATACATTCACAGATAACTATATGTTACATGAGGCATGCCAGCTTAAAGGCTGGATCATATCGTAACAAATGCTGCAGATTGCAGTTTAACAAGTTACTCATTTAGGTTGTTTTGTTACAGAAGACATTGATTATGTGAACACGGGATGTATTTTTATATATCATAATAATCTTAGTAATGCCCATGTGTTCAATATTTGTGTTGTTGCGACAATCAATTGGTGGTCAAGAATGAAAACGAAATTTTGGTATGGCTTTTTCTTTGGTTTGGTATTCGGAGACGTTTGCTCCGGGAACCGAAATACCTGGAAGTTTGTTTTGTGATTAATATAATTTTTCTTGGAACGGTATTTGTAATTTTTGAATACACTTTGATGCCTGAATTAGAGTTTTTTTCTATTGTCATTTGGGGTTTTTAAGTCACAATTAAAACGACATACCGTGCTTCAAAAACAGAAGAGAATAAAACCTTGGATGTAGCGGTCATTCAACTGGATGCCTGAAATAGTATGGAGGGAGCTGGATAAAATGCTATTAAACTACTCTAAAAAGGTTTTGAGACACACAAGAACCATTTAGGAAATAGTACACGCCTAATACAACATAGTGCAATGCAGCTTGAAATATATCATCAAGTGTAAAACATGTGCAATGCAGCGCCCAAATATCATTTATAAGCATGAAATGAATGATGATTACGAAGTTTCCTACAAAATCCCCAAGCACTAAACCAGAATAATAGCATACGACACTTTGTCTTTGAATGATGAATGAATTCAATATGTACACTCGGATAATTTCAGAATGATCTCCATTTTTCTACTTATATTAGTCGGGACATTCTGGTATGATTATAAATCATTACCCAGCACACTAACCTAAAAACGGGGTCGCTAGTCATTGTCATAATAACATAGGAAGAAATTCTGTTCTTTCCTATATTTGAATAATAACCCGTAAACATATCCAAAACACCTGAGAAGTAAGGCTCACTGAAATATTTTAGGAAGTTCATTAAACTCCAAGCCAGATAATTAAGTTACCACTTTTGACAACCTAGATAGTATGGACACCCACTTTATGTGAAAATTGTGGTTGTTAACGAAACATGCAAATACGATTCTATTTCATATGAAAACGAAATCTTCGAACAATTAAACAGAATGCGACGACATTAAAAGCTCTCGTACTAGCTACGTCTGTCTTTGTTCGTTTTCTGGAATGGTCAAACAATGATCCGTCATCTGAGAGTTTACTACACTTTTTTCTCTCGGCCTTTACGTTTCTAACTGTTTTCTTCTATATTGTCCAAAATAAAGCCCATTTCGTAAAAAGTATAAATTTACTTGCAACTCCATGACTACCGTTATCATATATAACATTGATGTATTTGTAGTGGTACTGGATCATGATCATGCGATCCTAGCAGCTGAGCGTATGACTACTGAGGAGATTGACATTCAGTATGTAACGATAGGTTTCGGTCATGCAGGCGTGATCCCTTACATAACTTATTGTCTTTCGTAGCGAATATCTTACGCTTTATCCAGTCCAAATAAGTTCTTCAGATGTGTTACTGACTATTATCATGATAGGACTAGTCAAGGTAGAAAATGTTGTAACTTCTACCTAAGATCTTAAAGATTAGTTAGTCATCAAGACAAATCTACCATTTTTGAATAAGGTCAATTCGTATAGTAGTGCAGATAAACGTAACGATGCCGAAGAAGACCATAGTCCTGCGTTTTTAAATTTTTCAATTCATACGCTATATTTTACTTATTGGTTTTGCACTTACAATCCGTCCTTACAAATGCATCTAAGCTCGTTTTTGGATATCGTCTTGGCTTCGTTCAAATATACAGAAAACCTGTTGAACGAATTGCAGATAATACGTAAATACCGTTGAACCCTTGTATATATAACTTGTGGTGCAACGCCTTCATGCATAAATTACCCATGGACAATAATTATATTAATTAAAGTAAAAGAAATTCAGTTCTATGCTTTAAAAATAAGAAAGACAACTATTCGTCCTCTGTTAGATCACTTTTGTTTGCTTTGACTGAATAAGTAAAACCTTTGAATTAAACTTGAACAAAACCGTAAAAAAACCATTGTATTATGCCGAGACACATATTAGATAAATTGTAGTTCGATTGCAAAGTGAGTAAGATTAAGTAGATATCTTAGAAGATGCCCAGGAGAGTTCAGCATGATACAAGTTATTACGAGTTCATGTTTGAGGCGGCTGTAGTCTAACGAGTAAAAATTCAGTGATTTGAACTGCTCCTAATAAAGTTCAATTTTGTGTCCTGGAACAGTATTCGCAACTCGCCGTTTAAGACATCCCAATTTATTAATATCCTTTTGGAGTTAGAGTAGAAAAACCATATTTCCAAATTCTAAATAAGGTCGTTTTAAACTGCTGAAGATAAGGTGAAAATTTCTACTTTTGTGCTCGCCGAAATGCGCGAACATTACCAGCCAAAGATTTACTCCCAAGATGCCACTGGTATCTGGAGTTTGACAGTGCTTTAACCAGTAACACCCTCTCCTATGAATCGTACTCACCAAGTGAAATCAAAAGACAGGAGCGAGGAGGTTAGAAAGTATATTTGATAAGCTATCAATATATCGAAGACCGTCTGATCTAATCTGGTTAGCGATTGCAGTGGTTGTTGAGCTCGGCGTTCCCACACGTGATCTGGTGCGGATGCACGACCGAGCTGCCTTCAGCTAGGTGAGTCCATTGAAACCAGTGTTGTCGGCATCCAATGTTGAAAAATTACAGAGCTATTTATTTTGGGGATTTATTTACCGCTTCATCTCAAAATGCACTCTTCCACATTGAGCGTCAAAGTCCAATAGTAGAATAGCAACATTATTGGTTAGTTTTCAAATTGATATAGCGCTAGAGGATGTAACCTTAGTCGTAGGTTCAATTTAGACGGACTACATTACATTTTGACGCTTTGAGAGTACGTATTCAGTTATCTGTCTGTTTTTAAATATAAGTAAGACACTCCCAAATTCCTAACTTATCATCCAAGTTCAAATTTCTCCACAATGATCAATATCATCACGGAAAACTATTAGTTTCACTTTAAGTTGATAATACGATCATTTCGTAGAACCAAACATAGTAGAGATAATACTATTGAACCCTGGAGGATCCCACTAGGATATTTCGTAGTCTGCGAAAAAGTACAAATACAGTGAACTTTATGTTTCGACTATATAAATATAAATCGAACTATTATATTAGTAGTGACATGATACACAAAGAAGTATAAAATATCGTCAAAATAAATAGTTGTGTATTTCTTTGACATTCACGCTGACCTCATTAGTTTTGCTGGATAATACGTAGTTGAATGCTTTCGGGCACACATCACACTTTATCACAAATAGATATCCTTATTACGTATACCTTGCAACTGCTAGGCAGATTATATTGAACAGTTCTCGCGAACCCGCTAAATATATCTTTTTGCTCCGTCATTTCTCAATGTCTGAGGCTACTTAAGTATATTGATGAGACGTGTGTGAATAGCCCAATCAGGAGCTTTGAACAATGGAGATGCATCACGCCAAATCTCTCCTTGCCATAGAGATTAATTGAATATGTTGACAACAGTCAGTAGTGTAGGAATACACAAATCTGTTATCTTCAAAGCCCAATGTTTTAATCAACTAACAAACGCCTGAAAACCGATACAACAGAAAGGGAGTAGTTTTTGTTTACAACTGTTTTGTTAAGCTCGGAACGCTACCATTGTAGAGGAGGGTCGATAACAATGAAGTTACTCGTGGTTCATATACTTTCACTCGGAGAGATAGCAAATTATGTGAACATGCACGATGTTTTTTAACCCGTTAACTCATACTGCATTTAGAGATTTATATTTTACAATTACGTATCAATACACACTAAGCTTATTATAAGTTGTCATTTAATTTGATTAGCTGTTTTTGCCTATTTTAATATTCATACATCTACATGTTTAAATAACTAACCGTATTTCAACACAGGGTGCAAGGAAATCAGCTAGTAATAAAGCATTGGACATTGGGCACCTCACCTTCCTTTGAGGACTATTTTGAAAGTTAGATGACAAATCGCGGCCCAACTTCTTGGTTTGATAGTATAGGTAACTTAAGAACTGAATGCCCCTCTAAGAAAAATAAACGACTTCGAAAAAATGTGAGGGTCTCAGTATGTCGTCACCTCGAAGATTCACATAGTGAGTTCACGGTAAAGGACGTTCATTCAGACGGGGACTACAGAAATTCTGTCTCGCATCTTCTATCAATAAACTTTGGCCTTGACGAGAGGAATGAAGGTGAAGCTCGTATGTTTTATGATTCATGCTCCACAACATTTCTTGGTTCAATGGCTTTAGAGGAGTGAATATAAATCATTACGTCTTTTTGGTAGATCCGGCTTCTGTGTGTATATTATGCTCAGATAACCCTACTATAATCCACACAGCCTACTTTTAGGAAAACTTTTGATTGTGTTTGCCATAAATAACTTCGTTTGGTGTTTCACATATCACTTTGTATGTTTGTATTGCAAATATAGTTTATGGATGCTGATGTTGCGGAAGCAATGGCTCAGATACACGTTAGCTACCAAATCCCGGTACTATCTTGAGATAGATTTGATGGTTCAATACTATGACATGTAATCATCCCACCATACATAAATACTCCATTTAAAAACAGAGGATCACGAACGTATATAAAAAGAAAACTGGTCTTATTGTAAACCCAGCCGTATTCAGTCCAACAAGAAAGCACGTTAGCGAGGCTTGATAAATCTTAATTACCGCTTTCTACATTTAAACAATAGATAATTCTTCACTTTTGTTTAAAGGGAGATCTTCAATAAGAAATTGTAATCGATAATGCAAAATATCATGTATCACCTGTCAATGAAGCTGGCATGTGTTTGCCATGAAATGAGTGAGCCGTGTTGTAACCGAAAGAAATGGGCACTAAATCCGATAAGCAAAAGATTTTGTATGTGTTCCATTAAGGCTTTGCAGTGAAGCAAACAAATAAATTTTTGATTAGAGTAGTAAAATGGGATGTCGTTTCATGCGGTTTTGCACAGACATAGATCTTTGGAAAACGAACTACTCCATGAGTACATGCACATATAGTTATAGCAATTGAAGGAAAAAATAACGTAAATATACCAAAATAATACATGGATTTGTTGGTTATATGTTGTTGCTGTTCAGATTGGTATTAGCTTCCTTTTTCATACCCTTGTCAAGAATTTCAGGAGGTAGAGTCCACTGTAAAAAAATTAAATTAATGAACTCTCAGTTGCCCTAAAGCAGTTCATTAAGCGTTTAAAATCATTAAATTCCATTTTGTGAGTGATTTTAACAGTAATAACTTGTCGAATCTGCTAACTAAACCCGTTCCCTGTTCAGGGCCTGTAAACTCAAATAGTTTACAAAAGATTGCAATAAAGACATTAGATATTGGTATGCCCCCAAATGCCCTGGTACGGCCGAGAGTGGGGAGAGTCCGCTCTCCCTCTCGAAATACTCTCACACGGCCACGCGTATATAGCCTCTGCCAGGGAAGTCCTACTCACTGCCTTCTCGTGGCGGGGGTGTTGTTTACGAAAATGAGAGGACGAAAAGCGAATGTCCGGCGCTTTAACCGGATTCCAAACCAATGGTGCACATGGGCTCCAGTATCCTGCGGGAACAAATGGCGAATGAACCAATTGTTGGTCACCGGCTTCCATGGGACTGCATCTCCTTACGATGCTCCACTGCCTTGTGGATCAGACCTTTGGGTTGAAGGCTCGGGGTGTGGCCCCCTAAGAAAACCACCTGCTTCGGTTTGGGCACCCGGGCAGTATCACAGCCCTCACACATATCGGGTGAGATTTGTGTGGCGCATATGTATTTGGTGCCTCTTTGTACCATTATCTATGTGTTGAAATAAATAAATAAATAAGATATTGGTTTCGAACTTGACTTTATGGGCTATCCAGTTAGTAATTATGGCTTGATAACGAAGTCTACTGTGATAACCTATTTATGCAGTCACGAGAAATAAGATTATTTTCATTATCAAGCACATTTAACTTACGAAACTATCAATCTCAATCAAATTATAAAGCTTAGTAAATTTGTGCAATTGCTAATTGATGAAATATTAATTAAAAATCCATTCACTCATTTTCCCTATCCTGCCCCGACTTTACAAGGTCGCTTGCTCATAGGAAATTTTCCGGAGGGAATGAGAATTTGTACCAGCAGGAATTATATTCAATTAGGAGACAAGTATACTACGCGGCCGTTCGTTCTTTTCTGATTTACAGCTGTGAACTGTGGCCCTTAAGGGTGAAAGACATTCGTAAGCTACTAGTATTTGATCACATATGTCTCATAAATGTTGCTCGCGTCTGCTGAGATCATCGGGTAAGTAATGGCGAGGTTAGACGCAGGGTATTAGATAATGATGGAAAATCAGTTGATGAAGTTGTGAATCTTCATCGACTGAGATGGTTGGGCCACGTGTTACGCATGCCTGAACACCGATTGCCACGACGCGCAATGCTGACTAGTGTTAGGGACGGCTAGAAGAAAGTTAAGAGTGGCCAAACCGAAACGTGGCATCAGTGCTTAAAGTCGCTAACCTCTATTCTTTGCCGTGTTGGTAGATGCAGACTACTTGGTTGGGGTCGGTATGACTATCCTAACCAATGGTCGGAGACTCTGAGTGACATGGCTCAAAATCGATTACAGTGGCGTAGGTGTATACACTCTCTATATTCTCTCAAACTAGGAGATTAAAATTACTTTATATCTTTCTTTCTACCAACTAATTCTTTTTTCTGTACTATCTCCTTATAACCGATCATTCTTTTATATATTACCACCAATGAAGTAACTACTTCTATGAATTCGGTGTTCATCCTTTTGTGCTAATGACGTATGGCAACTTGGACAGATGCATATATATGTCTGGACCTACGTTGCAGCTGACTGACGATCTGATGAGTCGGATATCTTTGGTTATTTTTTCACTGAGTATGTAGAAATCAACTTTAAGCAGCAAATGAGAATTCAATCAAATTTCAAATATTTGAACATTCTATTATTGAAGTTTAATTTATCTCTATCTTATATTATACTTGCTTATCTTTTAGTTACATTTAAATATTCATCTTTTCCCATGCATACTAGACGAAAGTAACTTTTTAGTTATACTAGTTACTAAAAAAATATTTTTAAACATATTGGAGAACAGATAAGACATCTTTATATTTCATAAGTGAATAGATTACAAAAATAATTGTCAAGGACTTTCATAAGTTCAAAAATATCTGTAATGAAAACAACAAACACTGTCGAATTTAGGTCGAAACACTTACATGGAAAAATTTATACGAAATAAGAGCGTGTTTGATTAGTTCAACAGTGAAACATATAGATAAATTATGATTAGACATAAAATTACTTTTCTAATTTTATATCCATTACTGATGACAGCAGGAAATCGTCCATCAAAGCTTGTTGGACACCACAATCATCTAGACGTAACCGGATACGTCTTAAACGTGCTGGTGTACCCACCGTAGCTTTAATTGAGTAACGCGGACCAGTAAGTTGAATAAATCCACGAGAATCAAGAAGATCGCATACAGCGGAGAGTTCAGATTCATTTAAACTTGTAATTTGTTTTTTCTTACATATAAGAATGTACGTATCATAAAGTTGGCTAAACGATAATTCACGTAAACCTTTTTGTTTTCTTAACAGAAGACAGCTAGCCAGTAGAAGCTTATGGTGCAATGGCAGCTCAGAGCCATTAGTAGTAAATGTATTAACGCCACTAAACGATTTAACAGGAAGAGGAGAATCAACCTGATAAGAATGAAAAAAAGATTAACTCGAATTACCTTGAGATATAGCACAAAGACAATACAGATGTTAGACAAAAAGAACAAATTCAGACGACTAAATATGAAAGTAATAGTTATGTGAACTGATTTAACGATTTTAAGATCATATTTGGTCTATAAGTGCTACATATTAATTAAAGCATTGTGTCTATATCTTTTGGATTGTATGATAAACAAACACATCTAATTACTAAATTACTCTAGCGCAAAGGAACTAATGAAAAGCTTTTATCTAAGGAGACTGAAACTGCTGGCAGTAGCTATGAACTTTTGTCTTTACTATTTTAGCCGGTTTTGTTAGAGATGACGGGAAAAGTAACGTCTGCTTCAAACTTCCTTTGCAATGAACCTCCATCCAGAAAACTTGGGCACTGTCTACAGTAAACATATAATATGATCCTGACAAGCAGATGTACTAACAAATTATAAGAAAACATAGTGTTTGGTATGAGTTAAACGCTTTATAAATACAAGGTGCTACTAGTTTTATCCAAGCCGACCCCTAGTAAAACAAAAAGTAAAGTGGCTGAACGTATCAACAAACAAAGCTACATCAATCCAGGAAGTGACCAACAAAATTCGGGTATAGATGTGGGTCGTAATGGAAATAGCGAACTATGTTTAACCGCTGTATGAACAAAATCTAATGGTCACGTATAGGAATGAGTACTACACCGTTTCAAAACAAGGCGTAACCGATGATAGTAAGTAATAATTACATAATGTCGAATTTAAGACCCAATAGCGATGTGATGATAGGCGATTTGTTTTGCCCAAAACACTACCTAGCAAATATTACTGTATTACATTGCTTTATATCTGGTAAACAAACGAGCAAGCTCTATCAACAGGTCGAAGTGTTCGGCGTCTTATTTCTAAAAAAACATCTAAATAACTTAGTCTGTAATATATATTTCTATAGTTTGTTAATAGTCTCAAAATACACTTCCAACATTACTTACTACGAAACTACAGTACTCACCTGAGATTCCTTTAAAGCCCTACTTATATGCTGGATGGAAGGTGTAATGTGAGAATCAGCCGCCACCTTTTTAGGAATAAACGCGTCAGATATGTTTTCCATCCGAGCATCTTGATGGGCTAAATCAATCGCCCTGCGACATATATCTAGTGCAGTACGTGCATCCCCTGTAGAAGCAGCAATCTAAATTAAATATGCTGACAACATTAATACATGTTACTGGAAAGAAAAGTAAACTATAACCTAACACTATATTGCAATTTAAAAACAGTTGCTTTTCCGTAAGAGCAGTGATCAGTGTTCGAAGGGAATATTTCATATTAAATGTCACTGAACTCTTTAAGTAATGAGTTACTTATGCAATAAGGTAAATCTATTACACATGTTCTTCAAAAATAGTTTTGTTTTAGGATATTTTACTACAAACTTCAATAGATTAATAAAAGCTACATAAGTAATAAAAAAGTGCTGAGAATTCTATATTGTACCAAAATATAATATTGAATAAAGCCATTAATAATAATAATAATTTCTCTTAAGTAGTTACCAGGCATGGAAGTAATTTATTTTTAATCAAGGTATTCAAAGCATGTACATACTTCCTGCTCAAATATATTCAGAATATTCCAGTGAGAATAAAAATCTTTCAAACGTCTTAACATCTATCCTAGTAACATAGTTAATATTGTAACAATAATTAGGGTAGTAATAAAACTAACGTGTTAAATTGTGATACAGAAATATTGGTTCATACACCATTTGTTCCTTCAGGATACTGGAGCCCATGTGCACTATTAATTTGGAATCAGGGTTTTCCAACTCCTCTAGGTGGATTCGCCGCGAGAAGGCAACGAGTAGGACTTGCCTGGCAGTGGCTGTATATGCGTGGCCATGTGAGAGCATTTCGAGAGGGAGAGCTGACTCTCCCCACCGTACGAAGACATTTGGGGGCGATCCAGAGCCGTAGAGCTTTGTAATTCATTTTATAGACTCCACAAAAGCCAACTAGTTACAGTGCTGAAATACGTCATTAATTTAGGATCAAAACACAAAATGAGGAGTACTGTGCAGCCGAAAACTGATTGCCTTACACACTAACACGAAAAAAAGGAACACAGAGAACCGAGACCTTGAGAAAAGATTGGTCTCAGGATGACGATAACAACCAGTATCCACTCCTACCACAACCGACAAAAAAGTTCATATCTTGTAGAGACCAAATCCATACCGCACCACATATCTGGAATATAACGGTTGACTATCAGATTTAAATGGACACTGATGTAATGTACGCACTTTAGCATAACCTAGTGAAAACTTCACTTCTATTGGTGATTACTTTATAGGAAAACTCACAAGGCTTGCGAAAATAGTAATAATCCGAAATATTACAAATCAAATAGCTCACTTTTCTAGAACATAGTTGTATAGCAAGAGCTTCTATACATGATCCACGACTTGATGATTTGGATAAATGAGCTTGGACAATTTCAGCAAGCTCAGATTGTGAATATGGTTTAAATATAATATGAGTAGGTTTGTGAACTTTTGATTTCAAACGTGGCAGCAAACGTTCTGGTAAATCTAAAGCATTTGCTACTCCAATAACAACGATGTGACAAGTAAGTTTTGATGGCCATTCGAAAATTCTAGAAGGTAAGTGTAGTTATAAAACGCGGACGTTTCATTAATGATAACAGGGAAGTCGATAATTCACAAAATAGCCATAAAAATAGACGAATTCGTGAGTCGTCCTGATTTTAAAAAATTTAATAGTATTATAAACCTGGTTAAAAGGGTTTTAACTAGGATCGTTTTAGTGCCACACTACACTTTTATTTGAGCACTGAATATACCACAAGTCTTACAATTAAACTACGTTAAGACAATGAATCCATAAGAATAAAAGTATATACTTACAAGTTACGAATGAAATCTCTTAAACCAAATTTTCATTTTTCTTAAGTATGGAAAAAACTAATCAGATGAAACCTTCATTCAACAGAAGCAAGATATAACACAGGACAAATATGGATTGGTTTAATGTGTGAAATGCGAAAACCAGAACAAAAGGAAAACAAAAGCGATGGACTGAAATTAACAAACTGGTGCAACACTAGAATAAACAAATAAAACCATGAAGCGGAATTCATGGATAGTCAAGAAATATAGGACAACAACTCCATATCATCATGATGAATTAAGAACTACCGATAGATAATTGTGTCATCTGACTGATTATGGTGGAAACTAACTTTTATCTGTTTAGATTAATATAAAACTACTGTAATTAAAAATAGAACATTAACAAAATATTCTGAGAGTTACGGGAAATAAAACCACCTGTAGAGTAACTTCTGACTACGCGTAGATAACTGATCCACTTCATCTAAAACTAGGATAATGGTCTTCTTTTGTGGTTGTTGATTCAAAAAGCATTCCAATGAATCAGCATCGCTAATAGAATTATTTTCCTTGCCATTGTGAGATTCTAAAACGATAGATATTCGTCCAAAAATATCCGTACATGACGTTAATTGCATACAATTAATCACGGCAGTATTACATCTGCCAAACGTTTTAAAATTTTGAACAACATTCAGAACAACTGCTGTTTTTCCAGTTCCTGGGGCCCCACTTACATAGAAACTAGCACTTTTCTTCGTGTCTATACAAGACTGAATCAGAGATGTCAAACGACTGATCTCATTTGCTCTTCCAACAATCAGTGGACTAGAATCCGCAACCTGAGTTGCAGAGTTGGCTGAGAAATTGACCTTACATTGTGTAATATATGAATCAAATACCACAGGTGGATGGGTTTCTTTTTGATCGTCAAGGGAAGTATTCAATTTATCCGATATATTGTTTTGATCTCTTAAGTTAAAAGATTCAAAACCGACAGATGTTACGTCTCTAAAAGAATCAGGGGGACTCGGTCGTCTTCGCTGAGTGAGACGACTTCTTGGAGTTCCCGTTGAGCTGGAAGATACTGAGGGGATTACAGAAAAAACTCTTTCATTTCGTTGTTTCCGAGGTACGACTTGTTCCGACTTATTTTCTCTGATACTAGATCTTAAGACACGACTCATTTGAAATGTCAAAAATATTCACCAGTTTAGATGTTAGCATGAAATGATATAGATCTGGTTGGAAGCTGAAAAGAGATGAATGATAAACATTGGTTTAGAACGTGGAAAATAAAATATCAAAATACATCAGAAAATTACGGCGTCCTTAATAAATTCAAAATGGCTTATTTATAAAAAGAAACGAAACAAAAAGACCAGAACAAACGATTTGTTATATTTAGGAGTACGATTTGTTACAGTTTCGTATATTATCTTGATGGCGAGACTACAGTTTATAGACGAACTAATCAGACCTAAAATATGTCTTGGACTTTGGCGCGAAATTCATTCATCCATAGAGATGAATGGTGTTTTGAACCTACAGTTGATGTCGGTTCATGAAAACTTAAACTCCAATTTCCCACATAAATTTGCAACCTTCGTTTAACGCCAGCAAGAAGGTGGATGTTTTTAAGGTCACCTAAGCATCACTCAAAGGTAGTCCATGAATTATCATCTGGCCGTCACAGTAACAGCTTTTACTTGACCCTAATAAAAAAATAGAACATCTGAGGAAAATTACTAATCATTTCAAATCCTTGTTATACCAGCTTTAATTATTCAGTGTGCTACTAAATATATTATCCGAGATTTTATGAACAGTGAACTACAAACATAAAAGACTATTTCACAAACTAACCAATTTTTTCACCACTTTCTCACAATACCTACGTCAGGAAATGTGGAAGCCACTAAGATAGTGGACTATGGAAGATTCTTATTAAGATAACACTACTCATTTACTGACGGTTTTTATTGTTTGAAAGCGTAACACTCCAATACTACATTACAGTGCTGCTATCCCATATAGATCTTATACTGCAAGCCATAATAACGTAGGATCATCCTCACATTTCAAGCATTGAGACTTTCGGATTGAAATAGACTTACACAAATACATAGTGGATTGTGTTGAATCAAGACTTTTGCATATTCATCCTCAAGAGAATAACAGATGTGTGCTGAAGATTCAAGAAAATAAAATGCACTCACATTTAGTAATGAGCTAATCGATAACAATCAGTGGTACCGAGCGACCAAAACAATTCGACAATCATGACCGGGAGTACCAGGATGAGATTTAAAGTCCATTACACATATAAAGTTGCGTCTTTGTTAGGTTTGCGTTTAACCTGAAGATACCTTGTGTGCAGCGGAAGTGCGAGGAGCAGTGAGCTCCATATAATCTAGATTATCTCGAAAACAAGAGAATGTGAGCCAACCACTCAGTATACACAAAGAATGCACTTAAAATTAATTAAGAAGACGAATGCAAACAAACACAAATAACACAATCGTGAGATTAAGACAATACGATAATACAAACAAGAAGTTGATAGTGTCAAGTCTTGAACACCAAACACTAACAAAACACGCGGCCTCAATCCAGAGTACAGGATTACATATTTCAAGCTTCAAATTCAAATTTGTTTAGGAGATTTAGTGAATTGTTGGTTACTCGGTATATGCGTCTGAGTAGCTGACACGCACTAGTGGTTACGTAAAGGCGTGATTCGTGTTACATTTCCTTCACAAGAAGAGGAAAAACAAATTGGTCAGTAAAAAATGTGATTGAAGTGTAGCACTTAGATTGATCCCACCTACTACCTATTAAACTAAAGTAACCTTCCAGCCTCCTTCAGAACAATTCAATAGGAGTGTGTAATATCGAATATTGTCCGGATCAACATAGACCCATGAGGATTTGGGGCACTCCGAGTCAGTGATCATAAAAAAGTCGTTGTGGGTACAATGAGTCACTAAAAGAGACTGTGTTTTTAGGTCTAATCTTTATGTAGCGGTAAATAAATCCCCAAACTAAATAGCTCTGTAGGTTTTCGACATTGGATACTGACCATATGTTTTAGTGGACTCATCTAGCTGAAGGCGCTCGGTCATGCATCCGCACCAGATCACGTGCTGTAACGCTGTGCGCAACATCAACCGCAATCACTAGCCAGATTAGATCAGAGATTCCCGATATATTGGTTATCGCCAAATACACTTTTCCGATCTCCTCGACTCTGTCTTTCGATTTCTCTCAGTGGGAACAAAGCATATTAGAAGGTGTTACCGGTAGAAGCGTTGTCAAACACTGAATACCTGTATCATCCTCATTGGTGAGACCGTCGTGATCTGTTACACCTAATTGCAACTGTGAGTCTGTTCCTTGATGGGATTTTTATATATCATTACCTTATTTTTTAAAACATTGTGATTTTTTCGTGTTTTTCCTTGGATATATATATATATTTTCCCCTCTTTCATTATCGTACTTCATATTTCATCATGGCTGACCAGACACCCAAAGTACTCAAGCTTAAGACTTTGTCCCCGCCTTCATTTCAACTCATGCCTTTCTGGCCCGACAATATCGAAGCCTGGTTCTGCTACGCAGAATCCGACTTCTCCGAGCACGGCGTGATCGACACACGTGCACAATTCCTCGCAGTAGTCAAGGCACTACCGCGCGAATTCAACAGGTACGTAACACCTAGTATGTTTACTAGTGATGTTTCCGATACTAACGAAATCTTGAAACGTTCGATTCTTAAACGAGGACACCTAACCGATCGACAAAGGTTAGATCAACTCTTCAATAACATCGACCTGCAACACGGTTCTGCGACTGACATATTGCAAAGAATGAGAGAAGTGATAGGCCTAAGGACTTTCGACGAAGGTCTATTTAAACAACTTTTCTTGTCTAAACTTCCTCAACAGGTGCAAGCGGTTTTGGTCTCGTTTCAGAACAACGCTTTAGACGAACTGGCTGCATCTGCCGATCGGATCTTAGAAATTACGAAATCGTCTACTACAGAGGTATTTTCAGTCAAAGAAAAGCCTCAAATGACTCAGAATGACAAAACCGAGTTATGTCATACACTCACGCGTTATCTTAGTCTCCGTAACGACCGTAATCGCTCACACAGCCCACGTAGAAGCATTTCACGTAAACGATCTGTCTCTAGACCACGAGAGACGGACAACCCCGACTGGTGCTGGTATCATAACCAGTATGGAAAATCTTCCAGAAATTGCAGAAAACCCTGCAATTTTCCCAACACGAAACCGACTGACTCGAAAAACAATTCGGGAAACCTCCAAGCCGGCACGCGTTAACGGCAACCGTAGCCGGCGAACATAGCCATCTGTTGTACGTCACAGATGTGACAACGAGAGTTCGCTACCTCGTCGACACTGGCGCAGAAGTTAGCGTTCTCCCAGCAAATCATAACGACCGGCTCCACGAATCAACTCTAAACTTACAGACGGCAAATGGAAAACCGATCGCCACGTATGGCAAAAGGTACGTCTACCTTAACGTGGGTTTACGCAAACCCATTCATTGGATTTTCGTTGTTGCAGATGTTTCTATGCCAATCATTGGTATGGATCTTCTACAACACCATAATCTAATCATCGACACGCGCAAACGGAGGCTAGTAGACGGAAACACTAATTTATCCGTTTGCGTAACTTCTTTTTCTGGTTGTAGATTATCCCCAGTCACAGTTAAGCATTTGATAGACCCACTCTATCAACCACTACTCGATAAGTACCCTGGGATACAACAAACTCAACCGAAACTACCGTGTGTAACCAACAACGTTACACATCACATCACGATTACAGGACCACCTGTATTCTCTAAAGCACGACGACTAGCTCCTGAAAAGCTAAGGTTAGCGAAGAACGAATTCGATCACATGATAGACTTAGGAATCATACGACCGTCAAACAGCCCTTATGCATCTCCGTTGCACATGGTCCCTAAAAAGGACAGCAACGTTTGGCGTCCAACTGGTGACTATCGGAGATTGAATGCAAAAACCATTACCGATCGTTGCCCGTTGCCTCACATTCACGATTTGACAGCTACCTTGAAAGGTACAACTGTCTTTTCGAAAATCGACCTGTTTAAAGCGTATAACCAAATCCCTATGGCTACTGACGACATACCGAAAACAGCTATCATAACTCCTTTCGGACTCTATGAATTTTTGCGAATGCCTTTCGTTCTAAGAAACGGTGCGCAAACATTCCAAAGATTCATAGACGACGTTTTTCGAGGTCTCAACTTCGTACATGCGTATGTTGATGACTACCTAATCGCAAGTCCGGACAGAGAATCACATCTCAAACATCTGGATCTTGTTTTCTGGATTACCCAGAACCGACCAACGTCAAGCAATTACGCACGTTTAACGGCCTGGTAAGTTTCTATAGACGATTCATACCGAAATGCGCATTACTTATGAAACCTCTTACCGACCAACTTCGTGGAAATGCGAAATTCATTAATTTGGACGACACGGCACGAAAAGCATTCTCCACAGTTAAGGAACTGATCGCTAAAGCAACAATGCTCGCACATCAAGACACCGAAGCACTCATTAGTATCGCAGTAGACGCATCCGACTCGGCAATCGGAGGAGTCTTACAACAATGGGTTAACAACTCCGGGCAACCATTGACATTTTTCTCTAGACTATTGCTAGACACCGAATCGAGGTACAGCACATTCGGTAGGGAACTCCTAGCTGTGTATTGTGCTGTACGGCATTTCCAACACTATATCGAAGGCCGTGAATTCACTCTTTTCACGGACCATAAACCGCTCACTTTCTCGTTAAGCTCTCCTTCTGACAAGTACTCTCCCCGTGAGTCTCGACAACTGGACTACATTTCTCAGTTTACTTCAGATATTCAACATATTTCTGGAGCAAACAATGTAGTTGCAGACGCCTTGTCTCGAATAAATTCCTTGAACAGTTTCCAAGGAATCGAACTTCTTAAACTCACCCAGCTTCAAAAACAAGACACTCATCTTCGGCAAGAGTTATCGTCAACAACCATTAAACTAGGCGTCAAACAGATGGGAACAGGTAAGGAAACCTTACTTTGTGACACATCTACATGTAGGGATCGCCCAATCGTCCCGAAACATTATCGACGCAATGTCTTCAACACATTGCACAAACTTTCTCATCCAGGTGTTCGTGCAACCATCAAGCTTATAGCAGAACGGTTTTGCTGGCCTGGAATGAATAAAGACGTGAGGGAGTAGGCACGCTCCTGTGTAAGCTGCCAAAAATCTAAGGTCATCAGACACAATAAATGTCCCTTAGGCTCATTTAAAACTCCAGACGCTCGTTTCGACCATGTTCATCTGGATTTGGTAGGACTTTTACCAGATTCAAATGGATACTCTTACCTCTTAACTTGTGTAGATCGTTTCACTCGATGGCCAGAAGCAGAACCTATCAAGGACATCACTGCTGAAACAGTGGCCCGAACCTTCGTCGAACGATGGGTAGCAAACTTCGGTTGCCCGTCAACCATCACTACAGACCGCGGACGTCAGTTTGAGTCTGTACTTTTCCGTCGTCTGACCACACTATTAGGAAGCACTCGTTTCCGAACGACCGCCTACCACCCACAAGCAAACGGTTGGTAGAACGTTTTCACCGACAACTAAAAGCTTCACTATCAGCTGCAAACGTTTCATAGTGAACCGACGCTCTTCCACTCGTCTTACTAGGTATCCGCAATGCACTGAAAGCTGACATTGGATACACTGCAGCTCAACTCGTTTATGGAACGACGCTTCGACTTCCAGGAGAATTCGTGGATCTTTCATCCTCTTCAATGAGCACGGATCTAACCTCCTACACGAACAGGCTTACAAACGCAATGCGTTCAGTTAAGCCTGCTTCCACACGACGACAATCCACTGATGTTTTCGTTCAACCTGACTTACAGTATAGTACACACGTTTTTGTTCGTCGAGACTCGCATCGACGACCTTTCGAATCAGCATACGAAGGACCTTTCAAAGTTCTTCAAAGCGAACCGAAGTACTATATAATCGATAAGAACGGAACCAACGATAGCATCAGCATCGATCGCCTCAAAGCAGCGTATTTAGAAGGAAATCCTATCTACGTGGATTTTCCTTCGGTACAATTGAACGACACGACTCCGACACTTATAATGCTTCATCCGACAACCAACACACACGATGATACTTCGACAGTATCCGAAAATAAACTTAAAACGACGCGTTCTGGAAGAAGAATGAAATTTCCAGAACATTTAAACGACTATTGCACGTAAGGCACTTCTCGACATTTTCTATATTATTAAAAAAACATTTTTTTAATAGGCTTATATATATTTTTTTCTATTTCAAAAAAAACAAAAAAACGATTTTTTAACGCTGTTACGTGTTCATGAGTTTATTTTTTACGCACATACGAGTGTATTTTCGACATGCACTTACATTTTCTTTCTTCTTTGCCAGGACGGCTGGAAAAGAACGATGACGTTTATGAGGATCCGAAATTTTCATTGTACATTTCTTTTTTTACTATGTTGTACCTCGGTCCCATATAGTAAGGAAAGACTACCAGACGCTGCTAAATTTAGTAAGCTATCAGAAGAGTGTTTACCAACGACAAACTCGTTGGGTTTAAACTTCTGGCTGGCAACGTCTT